AAAGCGTTCGCTGGTCACGCCAAAGACCCGGGTTCGATTCACCACATGAGTACAATGTGTGAAGCCCATGTCTGGGGTCCCCCGGCCTTATATAGCTGGAAATTTGCTAAAAGCGGCGTAAAACTAAACTCACTCACTGTTAACTAACTGACGTCATGTAGCTGGAATATCGCTGATAGTCGAGATAACAAACAACAAAATGATTATAATCTAACATGTCCAGTGTATATGGATTAATTGGGACTTGGTTAAATCAGGCTGTGCCCGATTCATGATCCAGAGGGCAGACGACAAGCTTTGGTCACTCTGAACCAGTTCAAACCCCAAAGCCCCATCGGTGTCCCAATATTTAAAGCCATCCCAAACAGATAAAAACAAACAGTCCTGGGGAACATCCTGCACCGCCCTGCTCGAATTACCTCTGGACCAGATATACCCGCGACTGATATGATCATTATCCCACGACTTTCGTGTACGGTGACACGCAATGAACCGATGGCAAGTCACCAAGCCCGACTACCCGATCGATAAGTCCCGTCTTACGAGCAGAAGAGATTACAGGGAACCTACTCCAGTTCGGAATCCCCAAGAGGTGACCATGTTCTGGATGGATGGAGAGAAGCTGATCGCAAAGAAACATCAAAGCGGGACAAATTCAAAGACTCTGTCAGAAGAGTCCCACTGTTTTCAGCTTTACTGTGTTATAAACATTTTATGCCCAACGATATATGTGATTTTATACCCTGTGAACTTTTCATTGTACCAGGGAATCGCCTTGACTGTCAATCTGATTGATGACGCCAACGAGTTTCAGAAACCTTGTTGTCAAAATTGACAAACATATTTAACTTTTTTAAACAGACGCAGGAAATAGTTCATGGCAATTACCAGTCACCCGACGAACATATTTGCATAATTACCTAACGGCGTATAATGAAATCATTGTCCTTTTTATGTCACTGTAACCGTTATTTACTGACAAGTCTCATGTACAGGAAGCCTTTCTATTTGTCGTTTCTCTTCTCTATTTGAAAAACGCTCGGTGGCATTACCTGTTTGTTTTTTACACGATATCATTGAATCATTATCACGAATATCACTGTGCACTGACCTAGATTCACCTGATTCAACACACTGTATATCTTTTTTGTATTGCTTACCCTCCTCTGCGTCGTACATTTACCATTGGAATGTGCAGTTACATGTACTATAGGAATGTCATGGATCACACCTGGAAAACCCGAAACACCTTGATATTGCCTTTTGATTATCACTATCATTTACTAATTTGTTTTCGATGTGCATTGTTTGCAATAAACGCCTGCCCTTAGGACCGTGGCAGGTAGATTTCATGTCGAGGCCCGTACTTTCAAACGTGTATGGTTCCTTATTCCCTGTAACAATGTGGTGCAGTGTCTGGATTTTTTCCATGTGGGATTTTTGGTGTTGGTGTTTTGGTCTAAATGAGAAGCTGAAGAGTTTCGTCATGCAGTTGTCAAATCTGTGGGCCCATCAAAAGACGAATACATTCAATGTACGTCTTTGGTCAAACACAATATAATGCACACAAGCCCCGCTTCCCTGGTTCAATCATTTGAACATCTCACGTGTTAAAATACCGATAACTTCCCTTTGAATAGGCACAGCTGGTAGGAAAGGCCCCAATGACAACAAATTTGATATGCTGATTCAGTCAAATGACAAGGAAAAACAGCCCACAAGGAAATGTTTGATAAAACTGACAAGAGATGTGTACCCTGTGCTTGTTTGGGGTTTGTAGTGAAGTCTCGTGGTTAAAGCATTCGTTTATCAAGCTCAGGACCTGAGTTCGATTCCCAACATGGGTATTATGTGTGAAGCCCATTTCTGGTGTCCCATGGCCATATTGCTAAAAGTATTGGTGATGGCTCTGGTTGTAAAGGGTGGGTTGTGGTGCTGTGTGAAGAAAATACTTGATTGAGATGAAAAAGACTTTAATTATTTTCATCGGTTTCACAAACCACAATACATAATTCATACATCACATTCTCCGTCCTCTGCGACAGAGCCCTAACAAGACATATATTTGCATACCAAACATCAGGGTAACTTCTCTGGACAAGGATTCCAGACAAGTTTGTTATTTCATGTTCTGAAGTTGGTGTTTTCGTATGGTGCCAGCTTCTCTTTCACAAATCAGATATCAGTATTGCTAGAACAAGCACCACACCTGGCACTATCAATTTTATGTTGAAGCTTTAGCCACCTTATATAATAATGTTGAAAATCTCTACAGGTACATACTCAAAACCCTCCATCCTTTCTGCTTCAGTGGTACAATGCAATAAAATTGTGGCTTGTGAAGGAGTCAACATCACACATGCATTCGAAGACAGGTCACCCAAAGTCTATATATCCCTATTTTGTATTGAAAGAGATAAATAAGGTAAGGCCAATTATTACTTTGCATCCCCTTCTGCCATATTACAAGCGCACCATCCCTCATCTTTTATATTTCAAGTACCAACAGGAAAGGAAAATCACAAAATTGATACACCTTTAATCTTGTCCTAAACATGAACTAAGTGACCTTGAAGGACTTGACAAGGAGCTGCCTTGACTGCATGTTGTGACCTTGTATCCAATAGTAGTCATAAAAATATACCATAAATCCTTGAAAAGAATTTCCAAATATAATTTTTTTTAAATGTCACATGGAAAAATATTACAATTATGTAATTCTCTCATTAAAAAACCCCTAAAAAATGCAGATGGAAAAATCGAATATGTGTTGTAGGGCTTTCCAGAGCTTACACCAGTGTTTATCTAATTCAAGGATTTATGGTAGACCATATATTCAGACACACAGCACATTAAGTTAACTACACTGTACACACAACAGCACACAGGGGAACCTGATGAGACTCTTCTCAGAAGCGACACTTGGGCCAACTGTTAGTGACACCAATTCTGAAGCTAGAGCAAAACAGTTCTGAGAATGAAAGAAGCAGCTTCAAAGAGATGTACTGTGATCATTAGGCTGATATTGCAAAATATTTCATGTTGAAGAGTCATAGTCAGTTTTCATTGAAAAGCCGCATGCCTATACATTCCTAATCCTTCCCACAATAAAAGCGAAAAATAACATTGGAGTCAATTGGTAACAAATAGAATTCAAGGATGTCTGCTGATAATCTCTGTGCCACTGGTATTTCTTAAAATGGAGTGTTTAATAAAATAATGAAAGTCAAACATGCAATGAAAGTGCACATTAGGCACGCAGAGCATGCAAGTGAAAATTGGATGTGTTTCTCACTGCGGAAGTCATCTGAATATCAGTGATTATCCTACTCATATTGTACTTCCTGCCTTGATGGGATGGTTGGCTGAGTGACCTTCTGCTGACAGCACCTATGTGTATTTTACACAGTACAAATGTCGACCTTATATCCTGCATGATCAGAGCATTACGTGTCTGTTCCACATGATCTTCAACGTGATTTCATGGGTTTCCATATACTATCTCAGTAAAATAGTACACTGCATGGTTCAAAGGGGAATGGTTTGTGCAAGAAACTAAAAAAACACCAACAGGTTTCAGGAAAAGTAGAGGTTCAATTTACACTCTCTCTCTGTTTTATGAAAGTGAAACAACACTGAACACGTAGAGGCAAAAAAGACCTTGAAAACATGCTTAACAGTGCCCCAAATGTAGCAACCATTTCTGTAAATATTTATATACATGCAACTGAGTACACTTTTTCAACCAAGGCATTATTCTCCTGTTACTTGGGGCACTGACCTGATGACCTAAAAGTATATTTCATTTCTGAAACACTGTATGATAAAAAAAGCATCATGTTCCCTTTACTTAAATTCATAATTTTGGGACACAAACAAAAGAACAAAACCCAAGACATTAATGTCAATGGTTCTTTTGTTGATATACATGATTTCTGTAATGTTTAGGTGGAGACCATCTGAGAAGAATGGCCAGAAAATATTTACTTAGTCCAGATAAAATATTTGTGTTATAGACTTTTCAAAAATAGCAGAGTTGATTAATTCATTTATTCAAAAGAACAAAAATACAAAAAAATTCAAACAAGTATTCTATGAATCACTGAATTTTCAATTTCAAATTACAAAATATTGGACTGGGCTCTTTTCCAGCGTTCTCAGCCAAAGTATTGTAAACATGATCACAACAGCGCGCTTTGTGAAATGGAGCCCTTGATTATACGTAAAATCCAAGCTATGCTATTCAGGACTAATGATATTTAATAAGCACTGTGTCACAAGTACCTGTAAAGACAACCAGTGCATGTGGGACTTTTATTCCAACACTAATACATGTATACCAAATACATATGAACAAATAAATACTTTACTGATATTTTTATTAAACTGAATCAACACCAAGAGACTGTCATCTAAACTTGCCGTTCCATGAGTTGAATTCTGTCATATAGAGTTGACATAAAATTGGCTCAGTTTCAGCATTTTAAACAAAAATACATGTCCATAGTTCTTTTATTCATGACCCTGAACATTAACTGAGCACTATTGAAGACTAGGGCATACTGGACACACTCAATTCACATACAAGTATTATTCAAAATGTACACAACATTTAGTTATAATGTCTCTAAGTATGTACAAAATATCATAAAAAAGACCTGATGTTCCAAAATATATTCAGGAAACATCACCATATAAATTCTGTAACTACTACATACATTGACATTCAATAGAAAATTCAGGCTGAAAGAGAATTCAAACAACTGGTTGTCAGACAGGATTCAAAACCAATCCGTGCAGGACTCAGGCCTTTGAAAATGAATCATTTACTTTTTCATTCAGAATGCAGAAACTGGTTTGTCTGACAACCAAGAATATTGGTCTCCACGCCTTATAAACTGTGTCACAAAATTAAAATGGATTAATATTGGTGCTATGATTAACAGAATTATCCAATTATTTCTTGTTTAATTTGAAGGATTATCAAAATAGTGTTTATGACTGGAATACAATGATCGGTAACATGGATTCTGTGGAATGACATGTCATAACTATGGCAGAAAAAAAATCTTGTGACTTTAGTTAAATATTTGGTTTATTGTGATGTCAGAATAAATGACAATGTACATGATGGTGATGATTATGATTATCTTGACTGCATGAACACTGATTTTGATGGCATGCTGACAACTCACAAGCTCTCCGACTTCCCTAAAGTCTAAAGACTTAAATCAGTAAATAACATGTACAGAAGAAATACATAAATGCATCATTTTGTAACAAATGAAGTACTAGACATTATATAATGTGGCACATCGTTTCGGAGAGAAATCATTCTGCAATTCTTCGAATATTTCATCATTCAACATGTTCAAGTACATCATTTACACCAAGCATGGATATATTTCGCTGCTGCATCGGATGCAACGTCTCAGTAGGGATGTCACTGATTGGAAAGATTAATATTTTTATCAACCAAAAATTATCATGACAGATCAATCAACTAAAACTGAAAAGAATTCTTATCCGAGCCTGCAATAAATAAACTTACGCAAAATATTAAGTAAGCCAAAAAACTACAAATTTAATCTTTTCCGGGGCAATGTAGTATTAATTAGGCATCCATATTCATCAATGTGTATTGATACAGTATCAACCATTAAAATGTATTGATACACACATCTCTGAATCTCAGCAATGACAAATAATGCTCACATATACATTAGCTTTTAAGTGATTAAGATCTGATCTTTGCAAAATAATAAAAAATTCATCCCACTTGTACTCTAAAAAACCTTCCACAATTTACCTGATTAAGGACAAATTCATTCAACTGCTTCAAAACCAAGGTAAATAGAAAAGGCATATACCATTATAAACCTACCACGCAACAATACGACAATGAATACCACTCCCACGATTCCACAAATCCGGAATCTTCAAAAACATTCATAAATGGGAAAAAGTGCTTCTCTGATTACATTGCTGTTGTCCTCATCGAAAGTCGAATGTTGTCTGTAGGATGAACCAGCTCTGTAGTGAGAGATAATCTGACTCGGTGCCTCTGACAAAACATTTCATTGATGAAACCACCTTTAATTTGTTTACAGAATATTCACAACAAAAAATCAGCATTTCCTTCAAACAAGCGGAATGCTGCCAAGGCACCATCTTTCCAAGTGTTAAAAACTTTTCAATAAATAAATGATAATATTCTCAAACAAAAACTTCAGAAAATATCAACAAATGATAATTTTTCACTTTTCTTGTCAACATAGATCTTACTGTACTTTCCAACATTCTCACAATCGAACAAATTGCTGCAATGTGAATCATCCACAAAGCTTTAACTTTTACACAGAAAACAATTAATAATGTGAATCACTCACAGAATTCTGCAAAACTCACAATGAACAAATATGTGTGATCCACACAACAGACAATAATGTGAAACTCTCAAAACATTGAAAGGTGAATCACACACATAAGTTACAGAACTCTGCAATGTGAATCACATTAAAAATCCTAAAAATGTGAATCACACTTGGAAATCCATTAATGTGATCAGGAATGTATTGCAATCAGAACAATTTCATTTATTATCATACACTGAAAGGTGGATTCACCAGAAGAAAACAGTTGTCAGTTCTTAAGCAAAGATCAGCACTCCAAAGTGACATGAGGTCAGTTGATTGCCAATGATTCTAGAAACACAGGTGAGAGATTATCTCCACAATGCTGATAGTACTGTGTGCACACAGATATATAAACAGGATCAACCAAGCCTCAGAGAAATTCACTCAGGCTCAGGCATCCACTCACAATCTGAAACAAAATACATAAACAAAATAAGACATATAAAGAAATATGGGGAAGAAAAACAAGCACAACGATATCTGAAACTTTAGTGACTTCTTGACCATTTCGTGACAGACAGCTCTAAGTCTACAAGAAGCCGTATAAAATGTTTCATACCAAGAAGTGGAATCAAAATGAGTGAATGTTGTTTTGTGCCATAGAAAGAAGCACTTAGATGTATGACGAAAACTCCCCAAGTATAATAATTCTGGCCATATCACCCCCATCCCATGAGTGAGCTATGTGTCGGCTAATAATCGAACTGGACCAGACAATCCAGTGATCAACAGCATGAGCATCGATCTACACAACTGCGATACGATGTGTCAACCAAGTCAGCAAGACTGACCACCCGATACCATTAGTTGCCTCTTATGACAAGCATGGGTTACTGAAGATCAATTCTAACTAGTGGTGTTGCGATTAATTGAAATAATCGAATATTGGTCGCAGTGACCAAACGACCAAGCAATCGATCAAATTTCCTCATAATCGAACACAAACGATTTTGGAACTACTGGTTTAGTCTTTGAAACACTTGTTGATGGAACATATCTTCGAGGTTGTCAGGGCCTGAAAATGTGTTTAATTCTTAGAAAACTCACTTCACAAACTGAAAAGTCATGACTGAATATTTGTTGAAGACTCTGGGAAGTATATATTCATGACATATTAGTCATCACTTTAAAGTAGCAAGTTACATCATGTTATACTTCTCTGCAATAACAACCTGAATAGGAAAATCTGAGAAATGACGCTAACCAATTTTTTTCGATGATTTCTCATTGGTAATGAAGCAATCATCAATTGTGAGATTTAAACCAATTCCCAACACTAATTCTAACCTGGATCTTCACGGGTCCATCCCGTGAGTACAAGGAGTTACTTAGAGATGATTCTGTCCCAGAAAACCTATATTAATGACATAACAGAATACACCTTCAACACAAACAGACAAAAATTGCAAGTACCTGCTATATAATATAAAGACATTATTCCCGATCTCTGCGAACCCTTGGTCGAGGTTCAGGTAGTGCTGCCATCTGACGGCCATTCCTCACATTGCCGATGGGATTGTGGCGAGCACGGCGGTGATCCATGCCTCGTGCCATGTGACGTGTCTTCTCTTGCCACTCGCGATCAAAGGTGGGAGCTTCCTCTGTAAAACATGAAATGAGTGTGGGTTTGTTTTATGCTGCTTTTAGCAATATAACAGCAATATTACGTCAGGGGACACCAGAAATGGGCTTCACACATTGTACCCATGTGGGGAATCAACGGGCCTTTGGCATGACGAGCGAACACTTTAACCACTTGGCTACCCCAAAGCTTCCCCACCATCCTGTAAACATGACATGATGGGTCCATCACTCTGATTAGAGTTGGTACCAAGGAACAGTCACCATCATGGGCAAAGAATCAACGGTTGAGAATGTTTTTTTAAAAAACAAACAACAAAGACAACCAACAATATGACTGTGGGATATACCAGATATGGGCTTCACACATTGTACTCCTGTCGGGAATCGAACCCCTGTCTTTGTCATGACAAGCAAAGGTTCAACCACTAGGCTACCCCACCTTCCCTATAGATAATATAAGGAACAATGCTGTCAGGCTTAGAATGCATGTAATCAACCACCAAGCAATCACTGAGTCTGATCCACTCAGCTGCTTCCAGCAAGCAGCTTTACAGATTCTAACCCAGCTCCACCTCGAGTTAGAAGGTAACTATTGTCGTTAATAACCTACCCTCCTCCAGGTTGATGTATTCTTGGTTTTCATTCTGATCGCCAGTACGCCTGTTCTGTGACCTCTCGATGATGTGGGCGCGGTCATTGATGTGATGACCGATGGCTATCTTCTCAACTCCTGACTCTGTGTCCCGCACTGTGCGTCGTGTTTCCTTCACCTGCAACACCATCACAATCACAGGTGTTCACCTCACCTTTTAACTTCATGGAGTCAAGAGCTTCCATCTATATGCTCAATTCTACTAGATGTTGAAAGGAAAAATATTTACAAGACAGATAAAAATTCCCCAGTAAGAAAGATATTTGGTTTCTATGTTTTCCATTTGTCATACGTGAAGCCTGGGTTGCTAAAGATCAATTTGAGAAAGCATTTTCACGGTTGTACATCCTGCTAGTGACATATAAACTCAGATAGTGTCAATGAAGAAGTATTTGTCAGAGTACCCACCCCGCCTGGTGCCTGTCGTGTGGATGAAGTGGCCTGGTAAACCTGTGGAGCCTGCCCTTGACCGTTGTTGCTGACCTGTACATACGATGACTGGGTGAACATGTGGCTGTTGGGAGCGACTACTGCTGTCTGACCCTGGAACAGAAAATAGTCATGAATACAAATACTGAATGCTATATGATGGACAAATTTGTTAATGGTCTCTGCAACCAATGTATAACAACGGTAAACACGCTGAAATGAACAGACGTGACAAAACTTGAAACACTTACAAATGATCTGTGCATATCATCCATCATTTTACGCATGTTCCGGAACATATCCCCAAATCCGAAGTCGGCAGCTCCAAACATGCCAAAGGGAACCATATCTCTGTTACTTCTGCGTTGTTGGTGTTGGTGTTGATGTTGGTGTCTGCGGGCGTGAGGGTGGACCTGGGCTGGCTCTAGCATGTTGTGAGGATGCATTGTGGGGAAGGTGGTCATCAACTGCTGCATCTGCTGCATCTGCTGACGATGGCCACTGTCAACAAAAACATCATCCATTAGGTTCGAGTTTCTTTGCATTGCATTCTATTTTCTTTGTTTAAAATATTTAACATGTTAGCAATATTCCATGACCAACTGTAGATGTCATCACAGGATTCACAGTATGACACACTATAAACATGATAAACCAAGTCACAGATCTGGAGTGAGCGAGTTTAGCTTTAAGCCGCTTTTACAAATATTCCAGCAACATCACGGCGGGGGACACCAGAAATTGGCTTCACACATTGTACCCATGTGGGGAATCGAACCTGGGTTTTCAGCATGATGAGAGAACACATTAACCACTAGGCTATCCCACCGCCCCAACAGATCTGGAACACCTTGATCCATTTCATTTAGTCAGTGCCAATGACCAGCATTGGCTGCTGATGATCTATTCTAACCAGGAATCCCTACAGGGTGGTATGCCTTCTTACAGAATGGGAGTGAGAGAATGTCACATGTCCCTGTGAGCAATATTAGTAAAACAATAACCATCCTGGCAGCCATAACTCATGAAGTCAGTCTTCCAGCAGCATGAGGACATACATCAGGCAGGTATGGGTTAGATTATCATAATTATCACCATTATCATTAATAACTTATTATCATTCTGGTTGGGTTTCCTTCATCACCGCCATCAATACTTCAGTGACCTTTGTGAAAACGTACATTGTACCTGTGTGAAAAGTCACATTGTATATGTATTGAAATACACAATGTACATATGTGAAGGCATACATTTAAAAAGGAAACATAGCGTCTGTGTGAAAATAGGTTGTACCTGTGTAAAAAAATAACGCTGTATATTATGTATGGAAATACAAACTGTACATACGTGAAGACATACATCAAACCTGTGTGGCAGCCACATTCTAACTGATAAAACCTACTATCCTGTTGTCTCTCGACCATATGTAGGTCCTGGTTCCTCATTACTGCTGAACTATTTGAACCTGGGGACCATTAAATCCTCATGCTAAACTCGGGTTAGGACACCTTGACTTTCATACAAATATAGTTCACACAATATCACAGGCATTGAAAAACCTATGTCGGTTTAAATTAAATGTAAAAAAACCTTATGTCTAGATGACTGCCGATCAATAATCAGCAAGCGCGAGTTTACTTTTACGGCACATTTTCCACCATTTCAAGCCACATCACAACAGGGGACATCAGAAATGAGTTTCAGTCATGACACTGTATAGGTTGTCAAACCTTACCTTGGTAACGCTTTATCCACAAACCTGCCCCCGAAATATCCCACTGTCTCTTCACATTCATATTTGATTATGCAACCACCCGGCGGTATACAATACACTTCATCAGCGTTTCTATGGCATCACCATTGATTATGAGAGATAACATAGCACTGTATGCATGATGGCGAATATTGCAGACAAATGTCAGTGTCATGTGGTGCAAACCATTAGCAGTACCTCCGATATCAGGTATTCATATCATTACCCACAGTAGACAATTTAGGACAATACAGACACAATGACATGTCACATCAACATGCAGGAGGTGCATGTGGAGAAAAGTGACAGTCCCAAGCAGTAATCCTGTATGAATACATTGATCAAGTCATTAAACATGATATACCTGACAGGTAGTTGAGTTGAATTGAGTTGGGCTTTACGTCACATCGGAATTATTCCAGCCATACAGTGACGAGAACAAGTTTGCATTTATAAACGTTGTAAGTACATACTCGGAATGAGTTTTATTTCAAAGACATATATTGATTTCATTGTCATTTAAAAGAAGAGAAAGTCAAAGCATCAAATTTAAAGGCAGGCAATTTGTTAGTCACATTTCATAGTCATATTTCAAAACCTCACAACTACACACATATCTTATTTGTTTGATGCCTCTCCTGTGGACAACAGTACAGTACAGAGTACAGACAGATACAAACAGACAGACAGACAGCTAATCATAATCATGATAATCTGAACATGTTACAAAATTCCTTGTAAAATATCAAATACAGGAATACACGATTAGTTTTGTTGGCTGACACACAATCACAAAAATTGTCACACAGTGAATTTATATCATGTATGCATCATGCAGATATTCGAGATCACAAAGGCATCAAAATGTTTTTCAAAACCTTTCATCATTTGTTTGATGCCTCTTGTGTTGACTACAGTACAGAGTACAGACAGACAGCTTATCATATTCTTTGCATGTTACAGATATTGTAAGCCGATATTGTAAAACATCAAATGCAGGAATATATGATTAGTTTTGTTGGCTGACACACCTGATATGTAATCGCAAAATTCAGGGAAAGGAACCTTTCAAAATTTCCCACTTGACCATTGGACCAGTCAGGGGCTTACACATGATTGTTGTTAAAAAGGTTAGGCCAGCCCTCAATGCTGTCGAAATATTAAGCTTTGCAACCTGTCGGGCTTACACGAAAAAACTGGCTTGCTACGCGACTGCCAGTGAGTGGACAATAATTAGTAGTCCGGTCTGTACTTCACTAATCCAAAATAACATTCGTAGATTTACTTAACTATCAATATAAAATTCACTGGCCACCAGGACCACTGCAAACTTATCATTTAGTGGTCCTGATGAATATTTACTAGCCAGGGGCCACAGGACCAGCGTAAATTTCGCCCACTGAAATTGCTACACAAGGAATTTATATCACGTTTGGATATCAGGCAGCATGGTCATGATGGTCAGAATGACATAACATCAACAGTTACTTCAGGGATTGTACACAGTCACATTCCTTGCCTCCTAGCTACAGCTCATTAACTCCCTCCACCATGTTGACATTCAGTAACACATACAACATGTATAATGATAAAGTAATAGGGCACTAACTACATGATCAAGAATATACCAGAATGAGCTGAAATGCAGTCAGCTATCTGGCAATATTCCAGCTGAGTCGGGTGGAATGTAAACAATCGAGTCTGGACCAGGCAAATCACTGCTTAGAGAATCTACCAGAACTAGCTTTGACACAGTTACCTTTCTGGCAATATTCCAGCCACTTCAGGGTGGCTTGTGAGCAATCGAATCTGGACCAGGCAACTCAATAGTCAATGGTGGTCAGCATACACATTATACGAGATGCCTCTTGTTCAAGTGAAATCAAGGCATCTTTGTTACAATTTTTGGGTTGTAGCCACAATCAGGCTGAAGTTTAAAGTTATGCCCAATCCCATTACTCAAATACCACTGAAGGAAACTTCAACATTGTTCAAAGACAATTCTAAATATCTCAAACCACATAATCCATTTCATCAAAGTTAGATACTGTGCAGCAAAACAATGTTGAAACAACCAGATCATGATGGCCACTGCTTATGCCTGAATGTTTGGAAACAACATTGTTGTCATGAATATCATGAATATATTTTTAATGCCACACAAAATATTCCAGCCATGTGACAACGTGTCTGGTCCAGTCAATCTAATGCTCATTTTTGTGAGTTAAGATCAAAAGTGTATGACACATCAGTCAAATCACAGCACATGACCATCCATGAAGTCACGTCTTACGACAAGCACAATTTGGTAGGAAACAGTTCTACCACAGAATGATCATGATGATGGAATACATGAATCTCATATCACAGATTATAAGAAGCTACCAAGATACTGTATCATGTGTATTAGTGTTGGGAATTGGTTAAAATCTCATAATTGATGATTGGTTCATTACTACCGATCAATCATCGAAAATAATTGGTAAGCATCATTTATGAAATTTGTTAATGCACATAAAAATAAGGTAAAAAACAAGTAGTTATTTTTGGCTTTTTTGGCAAAATTTCACATCATTAAAGGATGACTATTATGTTAGGAACATAAATTTCTTGGAATCTTTAAGATAAATTCAATCGTGGCTTGAAACGAGCTTGTAGTGCTTACGAAATGTAACAGACAAAACCAACCATGTGAAAAATATTGTTAATGAAAACAAGTGTTCCAGAATTGTTTGTGTTCGATTATGAGAAATTGTGATCGATTGCTTGGTCGTTTAGTCACTACGACCAATCTTCGATTATTTCAATTAATCGGACCACCACTAATGTGTATACCATGAAAACAACAAGGGCAAATTGACACCTCGCTGTACGAGATCTCATATGTTGTTCAATGCAAGTAGGAACCAGGAAAACATTGTTTGATACAATGAGCAACAAAGCCTTACAGTGACATACAAACACTATCAATTCACGGATCACGACAACTCAACCCACTTAGAAATTTATGTCTAAACTCTAATGGACATGATGGCTGGATCAACAGCAAACGGTCTTCAGTATCCATTCCAATTTGCAATACACAAGGGCAGCGCTCAAAATAAGGGGCCGTAGTTTCACTTTGTTTATTTAGTTTGTTGTTAACGCTACCACTCAGCAATATTCCAGCTATATGGCCACAGTCTGTAAATAATAAGACAATAACAATAACATGTGTCAAACAAGTCAACGAGCATGACCACCCGATCCCGTTAGTCGCAATCATCATGATCATTGCAACTGGCTATATTTCACACATTGCCCCAAGTATTCTTCTGGGAAATGAACAATTATGAAGAAATAACACAATGCTAAAGAGAATTTAACAACACCAGCCACACCTATAAAGATTATTGAACATGAAATTCAATTTCACATCAACCAACCCCTGAAACGTAATCCTATCAAAACATCAGAAAAGAGCAAATAATAGTACGAGAGAGAAACCCTTACCTAAGCAAGTTCATCAAACAAGACACTACAAGCTTGTGTCAATATTTGTACCTATCCATCTCCCATCACAGGACACTCCTTGTTTTATACAAACCCGGTCATGCAGTGTAAGTGCAAGAAGATGCATACATTACTCAACAGATCAATGCAGTCTCACTCACCAACCTTTCTTACTCGAACACAACTGTGTCACACTGCCTATTCATTACTGTACACACACATAATAAGCACAATGTAAGCACAACACTCACATTTCAATCGATAAAATGTGACACGTGGCTCCTCGTTGAAAAAAGCGATGTTTCCTCAATCCAAAACAGACTATTCTGTGTCAAACTGTCGCCACAAAAAACTAGGATGGTCTGTGACATAGGGGAACATACTTCCCATGCTATGCTACATATTTTCCAATGATTTCATTCAGATTCACCTACGCGTCTTTCAAACCATTGAGCTGTTAGTACTCCTCGCCCCCGGGATGAATATGCTCACTGATGCATGTCTGCTACAGAGCCCCCACTCAGACACCGTGGAGATATATTATGCTGAGGTCAAATGGGATGTGTGATCATGTGTGCCTTAAAAGTAGTTCATAATATAAGCCTTGGCACAATAAGTCACACTTTTCTATTCACACATTGTCAGCAGACAGTGCCAAAAATAGCCTCTTTTGTTGGTGAGAATGAGGTTAATGAAAACGTACAGTCTATAACCAAACAGTCTGGTATTCATCTCGATCCTATACTTACATGTAATAGTACAAATTCCAACTTTAGACTAAATCCTGTTGACAATGACTTCTTTTATCTGGCTCTGTTGTTTTTCCTACGAGTTGTTCATGGAATGTGAAAATGATGTTACTGTCCAACTCATTTTACAATACATCACATGATACCATTCCATGATGCATCTAAAATAACCATGACAGCTGTTACCATGACTACTATCAACATTCAAGTTTTTGCCATCATTTACATCATCATGAGATCATGATCATGCACAAGAATAGAAATACATGTTGGCAAAGTGAAAGTAAAAGTGCTATTTCCATCCTCCCTACAGGTTTGAAACACAGGCTGAGTCAAACACACAAAAGTAAACTATTATGCAATCTTCTTTCCAGTACCTGTGAGACATGACCTGCAGAAAATATTAATCAATCATAATGGAAATAAATTAGCTCTGGCTTGTAAGCCCAAGCCAATTTAGGTGTTGTTTAACTGCTGACTCATCATTATTCCAGCTATTAGTCCAAGAACATTTGCTTTATGAAGGACATACTCTATCATATACATTAAAAGCCTGCAAAACATGAAATAAGTGATGATAACGAAAGTTCTTACCAGTTCATGGTACAATTTGCTGTTTAACTCCAATCCATGGAAACACGAAGATATCGGTACTTCCATGTGTGAATTGACACTAATGACTATGATGAATATTTTCACTACGAAATAGAGGCCCACCCTATCGCACTCATGGCAATAGGCAAAATAATTACATTAATCAATAAATTAGAAATAATTGATGTATTTCTGACAGTTAGAATGTTCCTTGTTACCACACAAACCAACTTAAGAAACTTTATTCTGGAGATGTTGTCTTTGTAAACAAAACACAGGTAGATTTAAAACTCAAATAATTTATGTTCCATCAACAGCTTATTTCAACTATTGAAATGTCAACAGTGATGCATACCATGTTGACAACACTTCCATCTGACAAAGTATTATTGTGGGGCAAACAATTTCAATGCATCAATAGTTCAGAACATCATTACATTTCGAATGATAATGGCCTGTACAACAGCCCATCTGTCACTGATCAATGCTGAATGTAAAAAGTTACTAACAGATGTACGACAGATGAACAGTAGTGTATGCGGAAAGTAAATGTTACTTTGAATTTGGTTCTTTTTTTAATATTTTGGAATCAAACCAAGCAAATATCTTTTCAAATCACATCAGCCAAAGTTGACTTTAGGTCAACTAGGTCAGTTGACTTTACTCTATCATGCTTTTTAGAAATTATGCCCAATTACGTTAGTCTCGCTACTGACCTATATTATTTTCCCTTCAGCCCAGCTCTTGCTGTCATACTGTAGCTCTCAATGTAGTCTGTATCACAGTCCCTGAAACGCATTATTTTCACTCTGCCCAGCCTTCACCGCAACGCTAAAGCCCCAAATGAAACAAATCTAGATTTCCTCAGGTGTTCCATCTCACTGGGGGCTCCATTTCAATTTAACAATAATTATTTGTTTCTATCAAACTTACATATATACAGAGACTAAGCGTTAGTCAAGCAGGCAGTGTTTGGTTCAGACTGTGACCTTAACATTCTTGAATCAAGATGGACACAAAGAGTGAGTGAGTGAGTGAGTGTAGTTTTACACCGCACTCAGCAATATTCCAGCTATATGGCAGCGGACTGTAAATAATCCAGTCTGGACCAGACAATCCAGTGATCAACAGCATAAGCAGCGATCTACGTAATTGGGATATGATGACATGAGTCAACCAAGCCAGCAAGCCTGACAACCCGATTACCTGAGTCGCCGCTTACGACAAGCATGGGTTACTGAAGGTTCATTCTAACTGATGAACTATAGTAACCCAAGCAGAGCCATGTTTCGAAAAACATGCAAATTGTTTTTTTCTTCATGTACACTCAATTAAAACCAAAATCAGCATTTCTGCCTGTAATAATAGGGTTGTTGTGATTGAGTGAGTTGGGTTTTAGGTCGTTTTAACAATATTCCAGCAATATGGCAGGCAACACAAGAAATGGGCTTCACACATTGTACACATGTGGGGAATCGAACCCGGGCCTTCGGCCTGATGAGCAAACCACTGGGCTACCTCACCGCCCCTGTTGTGAATGAACACAGTCTTATGCTCCATTTGGCAATATTATTATGATATGATATTTATATAGCGCACATATCCAGGCAACTAGTGCTTGCTCAAGGCGCTGGTATTTTTTTCCCTCAATCATTGGATGTCAGTCTCAAAGGCACATCGTATTATCAATCTCAACTCCCTGGGGATCATACAACTCTTGCAGCCACTAGGCGCACCGAGTTATTGTGGCCTTCTCATCCTAACGAGGTACCCATTCACAGCTGGGTGGACTGGGACACATAGTCACAGTACTTTGTCCAAGTTCACTGCACGTTGCTGTACCCGCAACTTGGTGTTTGCACGTATTCATGTGGCCACCATCTGGTCTTATACCAAAGGATTCGTGGGTTCTTTTAAGTGCACAGGGATGTGTACTGTACACTAGGGGTTGTGACAACACTGAAAGAGTCTGCACACAAAGTTGACTCCGAGGTTTTTTACACCTGGTCACAGGTGGGCTCGATCCCGACACCTCAAGCTCGCTGGATCACTAGCCTGGCACCTTAGCCAGCTCGCACACCACACCCCAATACCAAAGTCAACATCACTGCATGGTTCACCAGAAATGGGATTCACATTTGGAATCATGATCATGATGAGAATGAAACCCTGGCTTTTGGCATGATGGGCAAATGCTTTAACCACTTGGCTAGCCCATCATCAATGCATGAATCATTTTATGTTCTGGATGAAAAAGGACTCCCCACCTACCTACCTACCTAAGTATCTTAATAAACTGGGAAGTATTGCTTGCTACAGCGATGTATTAAATGACAACCCATACCAAAAGATGGACAGAAAATTAATGCAGGGAATGTGGGCAAGGTAAGCTGACATGGGACAAGACAGCTAGAAATGGGACGAAGAATCAAATAAGAACAGCAATCAGACACAAGAACAGCAGTCAGACAAGCAAGTGAGATGGAAGATTAGCTGAACAGACAGACAGAAGTTCAGCAGTGTTACGATTGATGTTAATCTTGTACTGTGATCATGGTGATGTAAGCAAGGGTTAGATTCTCTTCCTGTGAACTACCAAGACTTGAGTTGATTGAGATAAGCTTGATAAGGGAGGAATAAAAATGAACAGGTGATCAGGCCCGACGATGGTGATGAGCACTTGGGAAGATACAGACTATCAGAGGAATGTTAAAGCCTCAGGGAAACTGCAGCTTAACAACAGAAGTATATGAAGCGAGTCAAGTACAAGGCCATAGCATATTCTCTTTGTATCATTAATAGCACCATAAACTCTCCAGCGATTTAAGTTGGTTCAACTGTTAAGGGGTTTACTTCTGTTTAGCGACCGATAATTTCAGCTATTTTCAGTTGCTTGACTCACCATGCTCAAGATAAAATAACATTTCAGCAAAAGAGATTTTTAAATTTAAAATGAAGTAAAAAGAAATACCAAAACGTCACAAACATAGTTTTATCAAGCATTTTTCACATAACATCCTAGCTCCAGTCTCTCAACCCCCCACTAACAGAAGATCGGTCTTAAGCATGTTAAGTCATGCTAATAGGACATGCAGGGACTTACAGGACGCGGATTCCTGTGTCCTATACTCATAAAATTGGACAATGGGCGCAACAAAATTTATTAGCACATCCATTGGGACACAAAGAAGTCCAAATACTTTTTGTAAAAGTTCCAATCAAGTAACAATAAGTTATCACTGAGTCTGCTACTAGCCACGTTATGGTATCATTTGCAGTTTCATTACTGTAACAATGTGATGATCATCATACACAGTACAATAACAGTAACTGAATTACAACAATATTACAACATAGTATTTATTAATAATAATATTTAAGTGTCTGGTATCCCTATTTTGTAGACCAGGACCCCTGAAAATTAAGAATATCATTATATGAGTCCCAGGGACCCTCAAATACAGAACTCGAGGTAAATCCCTGGACATGTGGCTTTAACACATTTAGAAGACTCTCACTATATCATGATCTGTAGGATTCAATTTCACATGTAGGGATATTGATATTGGTTTTTTAAAAACAGTATTTATTCCAGGTGACTTATTAAAGCTATTTCAGCATTCCGGCACAACTTTCACACTTTTGTTTCAAAAATGAATAAAACGCTTGCATTGGATGCTATTACAATATGAAATACACTGAATGAAAGGCGTACCTGTTTAGTCTGAATTTTATAGGTATTTGATGGATAATATACGTATATTTTGTTACAAGTTATTTGGAAGAGGCCATATGTTTGGCTAATCCTTTACCATGTTTACGGTTGGATGTTTGAATGAAAAGCTGATTCGACAATATCATGAAATGGAAAACAAGATGCACACAAACCAACAAACCAAAAAAAAAACCTGTTGGGGTAAAAGTTCATGGTACAGTTAGTAGTGCTGCTGCAGACAATATAACATTTATCACAAAGAAAACACTAGTTGCATAATGAGCTGAACATGCAACTTATTCAACAAATTTCATCCGATGGGTAAAATGTATTCAAGGCAAAAGGTCTGTGCAGATGAAAGGGTCAATATTAGCACTAA